AAGATACGCCAGGCTCAACCCGTGCAGCAGCAGCAACTTTCGCATGGGCTAAGAACAGATCGTTTGACTCAATAGCAAAATTAACGGGATGGAAACAAGAATCTACTTTCCAAAAACATTATAACAGGAAATTGACGGAAAAAGGACAAAATCTCATGGAAAATCCTACTCCCAACAGCAGAGGGGTGCGACACACCCCAGTAGACAGAAAAACAGGAAACGATCCAAAAATAGACCTTAAGAGGTTGTTTGAAAAAGATCCCCCTCGAGAAACGGAAGAAGTAAAACAAGGGGGAGTCACGAAATGCACATATAAAAGAGAAGCGAGACAAATTGTGCCGGAAGAGGCAATTGCGCGAAGAACTCGCGCTTGTATGTCAAAGTGCGCAGCTGTTACTGTGGAGTGAGTGTCGTAAAAGGGCGACGCGATGTGTACATGTGTGAAAAATGGGCGCAACTTTTATGACTGTTTTTTCCGGCAAAAAATGTGAAAAGTGTATCTACGGCAAGTTGAAAATCAACAATAAATGTGTAAAATGTGCTTAACATCTTTCGTTAATATCATGGGAACGGACATTGTATCCGATTCTCAAGATTCACAGTCTTCCCTTAAACCAATCCCACATCATTGCTTTGGGGGTCCGTTCCCGTGGTAATCGGACCCCTTACAATGATGAATGGAATGGTTTAAGGGAAGTGACAGGGTTATATTAAAACTCCCAGCCCACCCAAACAAGGGACGGACACAAAGTTTCCGCATCAAACCCGCTAAAATTTCTGAGGCTGGGGGATCCATACAGGGGAAAGTGGTTTGGTATTCACAGTGAAGGGAATTTGGTAAGGTAAGTAGTAACATTCCCCAGGCTAATGGTGCCCTTGCCTGGGGGTTTCTTTTATTCACTACAGATTTTTTTTGCATCTCCTTGGTTTCTGCCAGGTCGTTGATGCCTTATGGAATATTTCAAGCTAGGCCTTATGGGAGTCCTGGAAAAAACATCATAAATGATATCATGTAGGAAATGCAGGCTTTATTTTGAAGGACAAAATGATTTTAAAGGCTGAATTGTTTTATTTCTCCAAGGATTGTTTACTCATGAAAGTTCGGACATGAAATCAACTTTTTCTGATTTTCCTTTGTTTAACCCTCCATTTCCAATCTGTTTCGAAGCAAACTTGGATGCCTTTTGGTTGACCAGTGTCCTGGTGTGCTGGTGATTCACCATAAAATTCCTGTCGACGTTAGTGAGGTGTAAAAGTAAATAGATGAATGATTTCAGATGCAGAAAGAAATCTTTATTTTTTCAGAGCCCGGATTAAATGGTCCTTGGTATAGATGCGAGGGAGAATCGTCTCATCGATCAATAGCTGCAATAGTTTCCGAAGACCCAAGCGTATTGAGTTATGACGTTGGTGAAAACTGGAGGAGAAAAAATAAAAAAGCATTATCAATCAAGCTCATGGAAATGCTTTTTTTTACACAGATTTTCCAAATCAAGGTAGTTTTCGTATTCATTAATTGCATTATTTTAGATGGCTGATCTTTTCTTACACGTCGCCTGTGTGTAGTATTGGGGTTTATTCGTGTCGCAAGTGTTCGGTGCAGTGCCCGGATGGGTTGCAACAGGGAACCCAGCAAAGTAATGCTTTCCTGCCGATTTCACTGTCATTGGGCCACCGGAATCTCCCTGCGGAAACTCGAAAACTTTAGGAATGTATACAGTAGTTGCAGGAAATTCTGTAGAAATCTTAATTTCGAAAGAGTGTTGAACAAGTTTGGTTTCCTAAAAATTCAGTCTTCCGAAGATATGCAAAGAACTCACAAAACAAATTCCTCTTCCTCTGGTAAAGCCGCAGATTGACGTTGAAGATGGAACTCCGCCTGAATTCAAGCAAGCTGCCCTGTTGCAAATGCTGACTGTGGTTTCCCTCAGAACTGAGGCCTGTCTGCCAACTCCATTTTCTGTCAAAAAGTAATAGTGTTAAATTTTCAGAAGCTTGCAAAATAATCAAGGCTGATTCCCCTGTGCTGGGAAAAAAGGTAGCAATCACCCAAACAATCTCAACTTATTTTTAAGCTCCACAACTAGCTTTTTCCTGAATCGGACCATTTTTAAATCAATTTTGATACAATCTTTGAATTTTTGAGCAAAATATATAGTTCAAGGTTGCAGAGTATTCTACTTGAATAAACATATTTATGTTATTGCCTATTCCTGAAATTTTTATTTGCATGAATAAGTTTGTTTGGCTTAAATAAACATTGGGAATGGAAGAAGCCATGCAGTCAAACCCCTCACAAAGGACTTAATTTGTGCAACGGAACAGTCCATTATGTGAAAAATCTGCTGTGCAAATTTGATTTTCCTATATGTTTACACTTATATGGTAAACAAGCAAGATTGCAGCCCACAGAACTAAAAAACACAACACAAACATTCACAGCAATAATAATGACATATTATATTATTCAAATTAAGTTGGGAAGCAAGGGTGACATGAGGGAGGTGGTGTGCACTTCAGCAGACAGAAGTCTTTTATGCAAATTTGTCTGTTATGTGAGAGAAAAAAACAACCTCATCCAGAGGCAGTCTATACTGCAAAAATCTACAGTGCTGGAGGTCTGTTGTGCAGGAATTGACTGTAGAAAGAAATCTAATCTTCTCAAGCTTGGAAATGTTTTCACATGTAGCTCTTCAACATTTAAAACAATGATCAATTACTTTGATCATTACAAGAAATTTGCACAAAAAAATGTTGATAAAGTGCTCATTTAATTTTTTGAGAAAGATTTCTGGGAAAAAATGTGAACATGGTACTCAAGTAAATACCATACATACAGTATATATACTGCACATCATGCATCAAGAAGGTAGTTGAAATTTGATCCAATTTCCTGATGCAATTTAAAACCTTTCAAGGCAAGTCACTGTTTAATATTGGCCTCAGATGAAAAACCATAAGCTATATTCCAGCAACTAAAAAAAATTCTTTGGCATGCTTGAGACACAATTTTAACTGCGGATTAAAATACATTTAAAACCTCTAAGGACTTTTATCAGTTTCCAATTGATTATTTCTTTCAATAGGAAGCGACTCTAATCCACATATTGTGGATGCATGATGATGAATAAAGTCTGCAAACAATTTGACAAACCGTAGACACCCCATCCAATAGGAATTCCAGTGTAGCCATTGAAATCAAAGCTCTGAGAAGCGAGACACACTGGGCGGATGTTTGAAAGCCCAGTGATTGGTACAGGAAGAGCCAGTTGCACCAATGCAAAGTCATAATTGAATGTGGCGGAATCATAGAGACCGCTGTAGTAAAGAACGGCTGCTGCAGAAACCCTGAATTCTTCAGGATCAAATGGCGAGTCCAACGTGTGTTCCCTGAAGGTCATCAAGAGCTGGGAAGCTGCACTCAGGCTGGAAAAATGATCGAATGATTTATTTTCCAATTAAATTTGCGGAAATGATTACTGTACTATAAAAAATAAATTTAAGAAAAAGAAGCTACCCATGATTAAGAGGACCAATTCGGACAATCTCGATCATGAAAAGTATACATTATTGATCCAGAAAAAATTGCGGTCATCTATTCAGTGACTTTGCCTGATGTAATCCTTGATGGCATTTATTTTCAATTTCTTACTGAATTCTAAAATTTGGAACTATTGCAAAGCATGACACACATGATTTATTCCGAACCTCTCTCCTTATCCAACCACTTGCAAGATTCGAGTGATCATAAAAAAAAACATTTCCAGGGCTTAATCTGCAGTCAATGAGCGGTGATTTCAACATGAAATTTAAACCAAAGAGATTGCAGAATTTTTTTTGTTTTTGTGAAGTTTGAATTTTTTCAGTCGATACTGTGATTCTTTTTTAAATCTATGCAAGTAATTAAATGCTGATTGTTTTGAATTTTGTAATCCTCAGTTGTCTCTAGAACTGACAATACTATTTTATTCATTTGATGTAACACCACTTTTACCAGAATTTGAGCATTGATTATTGGTAGAAACATAGGAATATTATTAAATATATATATATTTAATATTCATAAAATATTTTATTATTTTATGATTGCTTGGCTTTTATCAGGAGATCAGCTCAGCTCAATATGATTTTCTGAGTGTTTGAATTCAAAGTGTATTCCTGAGCCTTACTTCTTTGCCAGACTCCTGCATCCCAACCCCCTCCCCACCCAACCCAACTCCACCCAAAGACATTCAATCACTTCAAAGCAGGAAACAAAGCACAAACCAATGACAAAAACAAAAGAGAACACACTCCATAAAATAAAACTGGACATCCAACACGTATGCATCCATCCCTGGATATTGAAGACAAAGTAGCAGTAAAATTGTATTTAAAGCACAAGGTCTTCAGCCTTCTTCTGTGAGGTTTAGTTGAACAAACAATTTAGAGAGAATCTTTGATGAGAAATCATATAAGGCCAACAGTTTATCTTGATCCTTTAAGATTTCNTCAGGGGTTTTTATTCTGAAAAAATGGGGAGGAGTTAAAAGTACCTGCAGGACGTCCCAGGAGCTGGGTTCTGGGGTGGCGAAAAACACCAGGTGCTGGTGTTTTTCGAGAAACTTGAACTTGTTTTGGAAAAAATGAGGCTCCCAAAAAGCGGGTGTTTTCTCAATTTGGCGGGATTGTCGGAGTGCTGCGCATGTTTGGGGAGACGGGGACAAATTGTTTAAGAACCAGAGAAGATGTTTTTCTTGGTTGTAAAAATGAGAACGAAAAATGATCTTGGAATGTCAAACGACCAGCAGCTGGCAAAGTCTGGTCTCCCCCCTTTTAGGGTAGTTGAACTTCTGGGGAATCTGCGGGAACGAGGGGTCATTTGACCCCCTAGCTGGAGTCATTGGCCCAGGGGTGGGTTTGTATTTTTATTGTCGGCAGTTTCTGCCGAATTGTAAAGTTTCAAACTTTTGGGACCCTGTCAAAGGGATATCTTGCAGCTGGAGATGCGTCCCGAGATGCGTCAATTGTGCGAAAAAACTCTGGATCTGTTTTCTTCAGAAAAAATTCCGCACAATTGTGGAGGGTTCTTTTTCAGTGCACAGCAGAGATGGGATTTTTCCAGGGGCAGCGCATTTCAGTTTGACCCAAGGTCACTGAAATGCACCCAGGTCTGAGAGGCAAATTTTCTATTGTCTTCACAATTTTTCCATGCAAATCCTATGCCAGAAATGCAGAAAAAATGCTTCCCAGTGAGGGAGTTTTGTTTACTTTTAATTCAAAATTTTCTGCAGCTTTATAAAAAAAGTATTGGAGTTTATCCCAACCTAGGCCTTGGTACAAAAGTAGGGTTCTTTTTTATTTCCAGTGCCCAGTGGCACACAATTTTGCAAAAATATCCCTACTTATTTGCTGTACAAGGGTTAAGGAGTTGTTTTTTGGTCATTTTTGGGAAACTCACTTTGCCATTTTCTAAATCTCCAGGGTTCTATTTTTTAAAGAAATTTGGCAACTTCTTATTGGTGCTTTTAAACTGTTTCTCATACCAGTGATTTAAAGCTATAATAGAAGACAAGCACTTGCATCAGCTCTTTTTCCAATTCATACAATCACTGGGGTATTTTTTAGGCTGTACCAGATTTTGAGAAGAAAATGGAAATTAAACTGAAACTTCTGCCAGCCTCTGTTTTTCTTTCATGGGAATCAATTTTAGTGTGCAGGATAAACATATGTTAAGGACTGAGCTGGGAGGCAATTTAATAATAATCTTCCCTCATCCCAGAAATGGGTGCTGAGGCTTAGAAAGTCTTGGACTTCTCATCTTCTTTTCTTTATTCAGGCACTAAGTCTCCAACAACATCAAATTCCCCCAACAGCCAAATGATTTGGAGCTGAATTTAATTTGAGTGAACATTTGCAGAGGGGAATGATTGAGAAAAACGGTCAGCACTTGTTTCCGGAGTCCAACACATCTTCTCCTGCAAACACTATTTCTTCTTCTTACTCTTCTTCACTCAAACAAGAGGGTTGATGGATTGCTGGTTGAAGGGACTGCTGTCTTAGCTTAGAAATGAGACTGTACTTCTGAGGTTAATAAAAGTATTTTGAATAAAATGGCATGCACAATTTCAAAATTGAAATATTTATGAAGTTTAAAAATTTTTAATTTTCAAAAAATTTCGTTAAATAACCTGATGACGGGTTCGCAAAACGTCTTCGTCCATGGTGCATCCATCTTTATCATCGTCTCTCGAATCCACTCTTTGATACTTTCTCAGGGAAAGTCTTAATTGAACCATTTCCGACAATTTCACGGGATTTCTAGGAGAAGGTTCGACTGAAAGGTACCCAAACGCAGTGGACATTCCTATGTAGCTCGAGTCATAATGATGAATGTCCGGCTGGTTGAATTTTTGAGTCATGTGAAAAACCATTTCCGGCCACTTTTCTCTCGGAAGTATACCAGCTTTCAAAAATCTTGAGGGGCAAAAGATAGAATTCTTTGAAAATTAACGGTGAATATTGTGCACGAAAAATCGAAACTTACCGAGAAGAAACATTGTGCGTCGTTTTCACGTCGTCTGGCATTATTTTCAGCCTCAACGTCCTTGTATCTCGAATTGACAAAGTGAGATTTTTTGGCTTGAACGTGCTACACATCAAAACCTCCTGAAAATTGAAATTGAACAATTCTGTTTCCCAATCACCGAATGCAAAGCTGTGAACGATCGGCTCCGTTGATTCCTCCAATAATTTTGCGAACTCCTCGCGATCTGAAGTCAAAAAAAATGTGTTCCCAATAATTCTTTGGAAGCAAATCAAATCGCATTCAAGGAAATATGCAGATTTTCTCAGTTTGGTTGAAAGGGAAACAAAAAATAAACATGATTTATGAAGATTTTGATTTGATTTGTGAAAGAAAATTTCATGGGCAGTTTTATTCACAGCTTATCCTGATTTTGGCAAATGAAAGAAGGCATCCGTGACATAAGATGAACAAATGCAGTCAACCCTTGCATAACAGATTTAATTTTTTGCAACGGACTATAGTCTGTTGCGTGAAAATTCTGTTACGCAAATTCAATTATTAAAACATGAACAATTTACCTGTTACCATTAAATTTAAACTGAGAGAAGTCTGTTATGCAGATTTAGTCTGTTCTGCAGGAAGGAAAAGTGCCTCCAGAGGCAGTCTGTTGTTCAAAAATATGTTGTGAGGGGGGTATGTTGTGCAGGTGTCAACTTTTCAAATCAAGTACAATTTGCTCAATCAGTGTGTTAATGGTGAATCATATAGGCTTTTAGCATTAAATTTCTTCAGAATGCATAAAATTGATTAGCTTTTTGGAGGGGATATAATAAGATGTTGTTGTCAGCTGGTCTGAATTGCTCTAACTTTCCCTTGCCCCTTGCCCTGCTCATTAATGCAGGATGGCCAGGCATGCATGTGCAACCTTGTTTCAGTCTTTCCTTGCCATAATTACAGATCACCTCAGGCGGTCAACTGCCATATAAATCACTAATAGAGAAACGTGGTTACGGAACACTTTTGTGTTTCCTTTCTTTTGTTTGGCTGGACAAATATTGTCTGAGCACTGACCTCAGTGTCTGGCTTTTCTAAAGTTAATGAAATGCCCTGCATTTCCAGAATAGAGTCAGTGGTAAAAGACCCTCTGAATAATAAGCAGAGTATGTTATAGGCGTTGATGTATTTTGCGTATGTTTTTGAGAACCAATAAACACTTGTAAAGCAAACTTACTGGTGTTTTACTTGCTAGAATTGTCTAGAGTACTTAGAGTACTTGGTCTAGGACATGCTTGGTAAGGGGAGCAAACTAATAATAACGTTCCAGTCATCACTTGAAATTGATATCCTCTTAAAGGTTTATCTAATCAAGGATTTTTCCTGTGGGTTGTAAAATCATAAGTGTACAACAACAATGTAAATGTCATCACTGTAAAGGTTGTACCTCGCAATTCAACCCTAATCCATTGCCAAACCAGGGTCAAATTGCAAAGAAGTTGAATTGCAAGACATCACTTTGTGAAATTAAAAAAATATCAATGCAAAAATGTAAAAAAAATGGCCAAAGCAGGTTGAACTGTGGGACAATGGTCAAATTGTGAGTTAAACTCACTGCAAATTCTACCATTGAATTTTGGGATGATCAAATTGCAGGAGGTTGAATTGTAAGGTACTGTACCACTCTTGCACTTCTAAAACTGCCCACTTCTGAATATTGGATTGAATTTTACAAAAAACTTGGATGTGGAAAAGTCTTGCATTGCTTATTCTCACATTGGCAAAAATTCTTGGAAAAAATCCATTCACAGGTCAATATATATATGAGATCTAATTTATTTTAAAATATATAAAAAATAAATAGACCAAAAAAATCGAGCATTTTTATTTCTATAGAAATAAAAAGGAGTCCTTAGGGCAAAAAATGAGCTCAATTTCTAAATGTAAACTCAGTATACTGATTTTATTGACAAATATTTTTATACAAGAAAGGAAAACTGACTGCGGAATGGACGATTGAAAACCACATCGCAAAGGCCCGTATCTTCCAGATCACTCGCATAAGAAGGCGTGAAGCACATGACTCTGTGATACATCACAGAGGTCGTCAAGTCCACAATTGCTTGAGACAAAGAGCAGTTGAACATTCTCATGTATCGCTGAATTGAGAAGACATTTAAAGCACTGCTCGGGTATGGTGAAGCGAAGGGGTCAGTGGTAACTCCGTCGTATGCTATCATGTCAGCACGTTCATAAGCTTTCAAATTCAAGATGGGATCCAAGCAAATGGTGATCCAAGGCGAGTCAGAGGCCGAAATTTCCGCCAATTTTATATCGGTCGAGTAGGGCTTTGAGAGATACTTCCTGATTTGAGTGACTGACTGCGAATTTGATTTCGAAAAAAAAATATAGCAATTTGTTTCAATGAAAAATAAAATCTGCGAAAATCTGGTACTCTTACCTGAGCAAAGGACGCGAGCAGAAGAATCACTAAAAACATTTGCTTCAAAAACGAGAAAATCTGGGAATTCCAGATTTTCATCAAGATCTTGAAGCATTCTTTATACCTCGAGTCTTTCTCCTGAATCATTCCAATTAATTTTAAAAATTTGAATGCCGATTGAGCTCTGGACTCGTTCCAATGTATTCACAGCAACGTCTGGATGATTTTCCCACCATCATGAACTTAATGTCGAAAAGTAATTTTTAATGCATAAGAGGAGGGCCACATTTTGTGGAATGGTCATGAAAGCCTGCCAAAGAACAGAGGAATCCATACCATGAATGATTTACTTCCACTCAGGGTTACTTAGTAAGTGGAGCATTCCAAAGCACTGCGAAAGGTATTCATCAAACTCACAATCAATATGTTTCCCGCCGAAAATGGGTTGTTATTCATTTTGTTTCAGTACTTGGCTTTGATAAAAGTGTCATTCATGGATCTGTTGTCAACATGATGAAAGCTCTTTGCCAATTCTAATTTTTCAGAACTTCTTTATATAGATATAAACAGGAGTCTTGAGCCAAAATTAGCGAATAAATGGTTCAGCCTTTGTCGTGGACCGAAGCAACGTAGCTCCAGAATCCGGCTAGAACCGGACCCAAAACTTGTTGGATTTCTGAGGCCAGTGAGCCTTGCAAAAATCCTGTTTTTGGGAGACTCACTGAGCCTCACTCAAGGACAAGAAGTGGTCCTCACTTCTTCAATTTTCTTGATATCAACCAATCCTGAGCCAGGAAGAAATCACCTGATTTCTTTCTGACCCAGTCCATGAGCTAACCAACCAATTTCACAATTGACTCTGCCATTATATTGAATTAACAGCCAATTGATGAACTGGGCAATGAGAATAAACTCCTCTGAAAAAGAGTTTGAGTTCTTATTCAAAACTTGCATTCCGATGGCTGCACGATTCAATTCCTTTGTCTGGGATCCAATGGACCCATGACAGCCTTGACACAATTGAAAATATGAAATTGTATGATATGTGTACATATTTTATGAGGAACATGAAAAAATATAAATTGAATTTCATTAAATTGAAGGTCAAGCTTTATTTTTTCCTTTTCAGCAGCCCCTCCCACTCCCCACCCACATTCATCCAAACACATTATTGTACATCACTTCAGAATGGAAAAAAGATAAACGCGCCATTTTATAGATATTAAAGTTAGAGAAAATACATCCCAAAATGTACAATTGTGCAACTGAAGTAGATACATACACTTTCTTCCTTTCCCTGCTGATGACAAAAAACAAAATTCCAGCATTGAAAATTACAGTATGATGCAATTACTGAACCCAAATTAAAGCACAAGTTGTTCAGCCTGCTCCCAGATAAGGTTGAGTTGATTGAACAATTTTGAGAGAATTTTTCATGAAAAATCATTCAAGGATAGCAGTTTATCTTGGTTCTGGAAAATTTTGGAAAGATTCTCTTCATTGAATTTTCAAAATATTTTTGAAGCTCATTTCTGTAGCTCTGCTGTGGAATGCTGGGCATAAGAAAAGAAGGTGCTCTGTTATGCATCCACAAATGTATTTATCCCTCAGACCTTACACCGCTTAGACACCTTTGAGAATTTGATGTGTTTTTTTTATTAAAATGCCATGAATTTTTCAAAAGAGCTATGATACATTATCATCAAACTATATATGCATGAAAATGTTGCCCCACATCTATTAAAAATCATAGAAAAATGCAGGGTTTAAAAAAAACCAATACAAAAATCAAGAAATGAGGCATCAATTCTATCTGAAAGGATTTCAGTTACTATTAGCAAGTCATATTAGGTTAGTATTAGGTTTATGAAACATAATTGACAAAATTAATGAGAAAGTCAATCGAGATAATCTTTTAATGATCTTGATCTGATTTATTTCATTATTTGATCAACTTAATTTGATTTTTCTGCTCTAAAAATGTCATGTGGCAAATTTTGAACTAGATAAAGTTTTTTTTGTAAAAGTCTGTGGCAAGTGCTTCTGGTTATCTGGTATGACATTACATACCTTATGTGCCACAATGTCTTCTGCAAATTGATATTTCGAAACATTTTCGACCGCTTTTTTCGAATTATTCCAATGACATCTGCCACGAAATTTATTCATTTGTCTAAATGCATCAAGTACTTCATTTCAACGAGCTACCAATATAATGGACCAGGTGAATAAAATGATGAACAGACTTCGAAAAGTGACAAGTGTTCAGAATTTGTCACTTACTGAATTGAAACATCTGTAGGCCTGTTTTACGCAGTAAATTCGAGTATAAAAACCTCCGAAAATTTGCACACTCTTCACCACAAACAGTTGAACAGTTCATGAAAATGTTGGCCCAGGTTTTCCTCCTCGCATTTTTTCTGCATTCCACTTCTGCGGATGGGGTAAGTGTTGCTATTTTACTTTTGAAATACATTTTCACTTTTGGGAAAAATTAAAATATCTTCATTTCATTATACAGGAAATAAAACCCGTATCCGAGATTCCAGAGGTGGAGCACAAAAATAGCATCGTCAACTCTTTCCTTGACACTTCTGCTTCGGATGATGTGAGTATCAATATTCCTCTTTTCATAGTTAATTGTTTTACTTAGAAAATATTGAAATTTTTACATTTGCATATCGCAGGAAGTAAAACCCGTCTCCGAGATTCCAGAAGTTGAGACCAGGAATAGTTTTGTCGACGCTTATTATGCATCTGACGGCGAAATCAAACCAATCATGGCTCTAAATGATCAAGTCGACAGAAAACGAAGGAAGTAAAACCCGTCTCCGAGATTCCAGAAGTTGAGACCAGGAATAGTTTTGTCGACGATTATTATGCATCTGACGGCGAAATCAAACCAATCATGGCTCTAAATGATCAAGTCGACAGAAAACGTCCAGGATTTTACAATTTGGCAGATGCTGATGAACTCATGGAATTTCAACTGACTTTGAACGACTCCTTGAAAAATGAAAGTGAGATGATATAATTTTAATTTTGCATGCCATTTTTGGTAAAAATCCATGGGTTATTCTTCTTTTTTTGCAGAGTACATGCAGTTCACGGATTGCCGTGAGTATTGTTCCTAGTTATTTATGAAGTTCATATATTTCCCCCTAAAACTTTTTTTTACCATTTTTGATGACAATCCATGGGTTATTCTTTTTTTTTTGCAGAGTACATGCAGTTCACGGATTGCCGTGAGTATTGTTCCTAGTTATTTATGAAGTTCATATATTTCCCCCTAAAACTTTTTTTTCAATGAAACCAATATTACTTCAAAGGTTCTTGATGTAGGTGGATTCCTTTTGCAATGAAATTCAAGAGACCAGAAAAATGGGTTGTAAAGATAATTTTTGTTCTACAGGACCCATCCAGCAGGTGGGAAGAATCCTTTGGGCCAAAAGAACTGTTATATGAAGAAAATTATTGCAGATAATCTGGTTGGAGTAGAAGGAGTCCATCTGAATTTCCTATAAGTAGATCATTGTTCACAGTTTTCACCAGAGTAAATATTTTCTTAGTTTGTGGAAGGGAAAATGGTGGCAACAGGATTTTGGGAGGAACTCAGGTTCCCAACCAAGGATACTACCCATGGGTTGTGAAACTCAGCACTGGATGTTCAGGAACTTTGGTCAGTGACAGATGGGTTGTGACTGCAGCCCATTGCATCACTAGGTAAGAAACCTTTGTGAGGAAAAAGTTGCTCACAAACCTGATTTTTAAAAGAGCTAAATAATTTACAGAACAAGCTTGAATTAAAGAATACAGTATACAAATTAATGGAATTTGCGATCAGCTGGGCTTTGGCCTGGACTTGAGAAGTCTCAGTATTGAAGTTGTTATATTCAGTTGTATAACAAGAACAGTTGGATGTCAAGACTGGGAAAGAGTTCAAGTTTTGCAAAGAAGTGAATGAATGAATGAACAGAACCCTTTATTTTCTGCTTTTTAGCATTCACAATAAGGCACAACATCAGAGCACCTTCTTTTCTTATGTCCAGCATTTCATATGGATAGAAATCAGCTTGAGAAAGATTTAAAATTACTGAAATTTGATGAAGAGACACTTTCTGAAATCTTAAAGGATCAAGATAAACTGTTGGCCTTATATGATTTCTCAAGAAAGATTTAAAATTACTGAAATTTGATGAAGAGACACTTTCTGAAATCTTAAAGGATCAAGATAAACTGTTGGCCGTATATGATTTCTCATCAAAGATTCTCTCTAAATTGTTTGTTCAACTAATCCTCATACAGAAGCAGGCTGAAGACCTTATGCTTTAAATAAAATTTTACTGCTACTTTGTCTTCAATATCCAGGGATGGATGCATACAAGTTGGATGTCCACTTTTATTTTGTGGAGTGTGTTCTCTTTTGTTTTTGTCATTGATTTGTGCTTTTTTTCCTGCTTTGAAGTGATTGAATGTCTTTGGGGGGAGTTGGGTTGGGTGGGGAAGGGGTTGGGATGCAGGAGTCTTGCAAAGAAGTAAGGCTCAGGAATACACTTTGAATTCTAACACTCAGAAAATCATATCGAGCTGAGCTGATCTCCTGATAAAAGCCAAGCAATCATAAAATATTAAAATATTTTATGATAATATTCCTATGTATCTAACAATAATCAATGCTCAAATTCTGGTAAAAGTGGTGTTACATCAAATGAATAAAATAGTAGTGTCAGTTCTAGATGTGAAGAATAAATGTATAGAACAATTTCTTAGATGAATAAAACACAGCAATCAGCCAAGCTGCGGCCGGGGTGAATAACACCCTAGTTTAAAGTTGTTATATTTCTTTGATTTAAAAACACAAGTCCAAAAATCTCCTCAATATTGCTCAAAATCACAACACCCGATGTTGCTTGTATGAATCACACTGTTGGAGTGCCTGGTTAGGAACAATTTTAGTGACCAGGAAAACTTCATAGAAGGTCATTTAAAGATGACCTTTCATAGATGAAGTAGGAAATACAGAAATGAATTGACCTCAGAGGTCAGGGAGGAATGTCTCCTTGAGGAGAAGGCTGTCTGAGTTTTGATGGCCTTGGGTTCCCACAAGATTAACGGGAGAATGAGAATCAGAGGATGAGTTTGGCTGGCACCAAACTCATCCTCTGATTCTCATCAATTTTGCAATACTTGAGACAACTGAGGATAACAAAATTCAAAACAATCAGCATTTAATTACTTGCAGAGATTTAAAAAAGAATCACATGTAAGGTTTTACAAGTGAGATTTAGATTAATCAAGCCTTACACCTTGATTGCGATTTTCTAGCAGAGTTTTCCAAGTTTGAGGGTTTTAGATAGGAGCTGAATAAATCAAAACACGGCAATTGGCTGGGCGCAAACCGACCGGGATTTCTCCCTACTAGCGCAGACCTTTCTTTGATGCACACACACACACACACACAAAGTTAATCACACACGCAGTTTGTACAGAAAACAAGGTATACACACTCAGATATACAAGAGTCACAGCAATCAACAACAATCCGAGTTGTAGGATTTCAAGTAGTCCAGAAGTGGACTTGATTTCCTTTATAATTAAAGTTTCGTTACTGATTCAAGTTCCCGATTTGATAAAGTATTCCTACACGGCTTTGAAGGGATAAATTAAGACGGACAAGTCCCGTTCTTGACAAAAGAGGGTTAAAACCAAGGGAAAAGCAAAGTACCAAAGCTTTTGATATCGCAATGTTTCAGAATCACCCTGATAGTGGAGAATTTTTGAAGTACCTAATCCCAATTTTTAAGAACACAACTTCAGCAGTTCGACCTTCTAAACTTGACTGTGTTTGTTACCCAATTTTCTGGGGTTTATATACGGATTTTGCACCAATTTTTGGCGGGTCTTCCTTGTTTGCGCAGATTTGAAAACACCAGGTGGTAACATCTGCTGTTTTCGTAAAGGTTTCATAAATGTGTATTTTTCCCGAAAACTGGGTGAACGTTTTACAATCTTTCAACCATTTGTTAAATTAGTTTTCTGCTGGAAAACATGGGTCTTGACAGTTGCAAAGCTGTTAAGACTATAAAGTTGACAGTTGAGCATTTCTAAACTCAAGTTTTTTGACAGCTCGAGAAGTCCCGAATTCGGGAGACAAATTGTTTTACGATATACGAGACGAGATTTTTTGTCTCTTCCTTGACAGCTGGTTTGTGTTTTTGTGAAGTCTTGAGGGGTCAAATGACCCCGAGTTTTCAGAGGAGTCAATGTCCCCCTGTCAAAAGGGAGGCACCAACTTTTTTGGCGATTTGTTTTATTCCGTTTCCGGGGATCACTCTCCTTTTCTGGCCTCAAGGGCTTTTGTTCTGCCAATTCGTTTTGTGTCTTATTTCAGGACACCCCTTTTGCAGGAATCGGTTTAACTTTTATTTGTGTCGGCGCATCCCGGTGATGCGCCAATTGGATAACAGTTTCGGCTCCAATTTGGCGCCTTGTTTCATAGAGGGGCCGCGAGAAAATTCCGCACATCACAGCATTGACTGAAAAAATTCAAACTTCACAAAAACGAAAAAAAATTCTGCAAGCTCTTTGATTTTAATTTAATGTTTAAATCACCTCTCATTGACTGCAGATTAAGCCCTGGAAATGTTTTTTTTATGATCACTCGAATCTTGCAAGTGGTTGAATGTAAGGAGAGAGGTTTGGAATAAATCATGTGCCTCATGCTTTGCAATAGCTCCGAATTTTAGACTTAAGTAAGAAATAAAAAATAAATGCAATCAGGGATTACATCAGGCAAAGTCACTGAATAGATGACTGTAATTTTCCTGGATCAATAATGTATACTTTTCATGATCGAGATTGTCCGAATTAGTCTTCTTAATCATGGGTATATAGCTTGTTTTTCTGAAATTTATTTTTTCATAGCAATCATTTCCGAAAATTTAATTGGAATATAAATCATTTGATCTTTTTTCCAGCCTGAGTGCAGCTTCTCAGCTCTTGATGACCTTCAGGGAACACACGTTGGACTCGCCATTTGATCCTGCAGAATTCAGGGTTTCTGCAGCAGCCGTTCTTTACTACAGCGGTCTCTATGATTCCGCCACATTCAATTATGACTTTGCATTGGTTCAACTGGCTCTTCCTGTACCAATCACTGGGCTCTCAAACATCCGTCCAGTGTGTCTGGCTTCTCAGAGTTTCGATTTCAATGGCTACACTGGAATTCCCATTGGATGGGGTGTCTACGGTTTGTCAATTACTTGCAGACTTTATTCATCATCATACATCCACAATATTTGTATTAGAGTCGCTTCCTATCGAAAGAAATACTCAATTGGAAACTGATGAGGTTTTAAATGTATTTTAATCCGCAGATTAAATTTTCTCTCAAGCATATGCCATACGATTGTATCCACATTTTTTTTTTTTTTTTTTTTTTAGTTTCTGGAGTATAGCTTGGTTTTCCATCTGTGGCCAATTTTAAACAGTCAATTGCCTTATTGAAAGGTTTTAAATCCCATCAGGAAATAGAATCAAATTTCAACTACCTTCTTGATGCATGATGTATATATTCTGTATATATGGTATCTACTTGAGTACCATGCTCACTTTTTTTCCCAGAAATCTATTCCAAAAAATTCAATGAGCACCTTATCCACTTTTTTCTAATGATCAAAGTTGAGGATCATTGTTTTAAACGTTGAAAAGCTATATGCACAAACATTTCCAAGTTTAAGAAGATTAAATTGCTTTCTACAGTCAACCCCTGCACAACAGACCTCCAGCACGAAAGATTTTTGCATTACAGACTGCCTCTGGATGAGGCAGTTTTTTTCTCTCACATAACAGACAAATTTGCATAAAATACTTCTGTCTGTTGAAGTGAACACAACCTCCCTTGTGTCCCCCTTCCTTCCCAACTTAATTTGAATATAACATATCATTATTATTGCTGTGAATGTGTGTGTTGTGTTTTTTAGTTCTGTGGGTTGCAATCTTGCTTGTTTTGCAAAAGTGTAAACATATAGGAAAATCAAATTTGCACAGCAGATTTTTCACATAATGGACTGTTCTGTTGCAAAAATCAAGTCCTTTGTGCGGGGTTTGACTGCATGGCTTTTTCCATTCCCAATGTTTACTTAAGCCAAACAAACTTATTCATGCAAATAAGAATTTCAGGAATAGGCAATGACATAAATATGTTGATATAAGCAGTGCTATTGAAGGTTGCCCCTGTGCAACCTTCAACTATATATTTTGCTGAAAAATTCAAAGATTATATAAAAATTGATTTAAAAATAGCCTGATTCAAGAAAAAGCTAGTTGTGGAGCTTAAAAATAAGTTGAGATTGTTTGGGTGATTGCTACCTTTTTTCCCAGCACAGGGGAATCAGCCTTGATTATTTTGCAAGCTTCTGAAAAAAATTGTGATAATGAAATTGACAGAAAATGGAGTTGGCAGACAGGCCTCAGTTCTGAGGGAAACCACAGTCAGCATTTGCAACAGGGCAGCTTGCTTGAATTCAGGCGGAGTTCCATCTTCAACGTCGATCTGCGGCTTTACCAGAGGAAGAGGAATTTGTTTTGTGAGTTCTTTCATTCTTTGCATATTTTTGGAAAACTAAATAAAAAAAACCAAACTTGTTTAATACTCTTTTCAAAATTAGGAATTCTACAGAATTTCCTGCGACCAACATTCCTAAAGTTTTCGAGTTTCCGCAGGGAGATTCCGGTGGCCCAATGACAGTTAAATCGGCAGGAAAGCATTACTTTGCTGGGTTCCCTGTTGCAACCCATCCAGGCACTGCACCAAACACTTGCGACACGAATAAACCCCAATACTACACACAGGCGACGTGTAAGAAAAGATCAGCCCTCTTAAATAATGCAGTTATTCTTGAATACGAAAACTGGCTTGATTTGGAAAAAAATCATTTCCATGAGCTTGATTGATAATGCTTTTTTTTCTCCTCCAGTTTTCACCAACGTCATAACTCAATACGCTTGGGTCTTCGGAAACTATTGCAGCTATTGATCGATGAGACGATTCTTCCTCAATACCAAGGACCATTTAATCCCGGCTCTGAAACAATAAAGAATTCTTTCTGCATCTGAAATCATTCATGTATTTATTTTTACACCTCACGTAACTAACGAGAACAGGAATTTTAAAAGGAATCACCAGCACAGGAAACAACGCACTGGAAAGAACTCAAAGCACTAGTGGTCAAACAAAAGCCTATAAATAGCCATCCAAAAGCCATCAATAGCCATCCAAGTTTACTTTGAAACATAGTGAAAATGAAGAATTATACAAAATAAAATCAGAGACAGTCGATTTCATGTCTGAGCTTTTCTGAGTCAACAATCCTTGCAAAAATAAAACACTTCAGCCTTTAAAATCATATCGTCCTTAAAAATGAGGCGTGAATTTCCTACATGATATCATTTTTATATTTCTTCAAAAGCTTCAATAAGGCCAATTGAGGTGCTAATAATAGTTTGAAATATTCGATGAAGCATAAACAACCTGACAGAAACGAAGCAGTTGAAAAAAAAACCTACAATAAATGAACGTCCTGAAATCAAAATAGGTCAAATTCGAAAACAACAGTACATCAGTACTTTACAACAACAGTACTGTTCAGATCCGAGTATCCAACAAGGCGAAGAATCCTTCAGGCGACACCTATGTTTCGGCAAAGAAAATCAGTCTCGTTCCGCTTTGACGTGAGAATAGACAATAGAACACCTGAAATTGAATACTGTTTTGTTCTGTACATTCGTAGAGTATTTACACTATATGCATCAAATGCGGAGATGTCGTACATCATTTCCATGCTTAGAAAAATTGTGTCTGAGTAGCTGCAATTCTCCTTATTTTCATTAGCAATCTCTCATTGCTTGCTTTGAATCTGGGGAAATTGGAGAGCAAGAGAGATACACTAAGAATTTTGGCATGATAACAGACATCTGTTACACATGCAAAACAGAACCAATGACGGTGTTTTTTACATCTCAAAGTAGGTGTCGCGTTTCATGAAAACCAGCATTTTTTCAGCCGTTGGCAAAATTTCATCAATCCAAAGTACTGCACTTGAAGAAATGCAAATAGATTAAAATGTAATAGAATAGTATTTTCAGAGTTTAAGAGAGTGCAACTTCACCTCCTTCTTCAGGTTTTTTTTTCAGCAAAACGTTTTTGGCATAAATTCGGAAAAGAAAATCGGAATTGTCGAAACCCAGGAAATATTGCTGAGATTATTTTATTTTTGCTCCTTGCACACATTTGTTCAAAAATATCCTGATTTTCCCAAGAAAAAAGTTGATCAAAATTATTGAATGCTCCCAGAAGGTGCAATACTAAGGATATGTGATGGTTTTTGCATTTAATACGAAGTAAAGAGAGTAATCATTGAATTCTGCGTGTACTCAATGCGACTTTTGACAACATAGCTTATTTTTCGACAGGTAGTTTTTATGCGGTACACACAACATATTCATTATTTGCGCGGCAATACGTTTTCGAAAAAACAGGAAACAACAAATAAAAAGAAGTTATTCTCTTCATGGTCTCTGTTCATTGTTTTTCTTCTGGTGGAACCGGAAGAAGAAACAGTTGCAGCGGGTTCGTCACAAACCGGAAAACATTCGTTACAGCCGGTCATGGGTTTTCACCCGAAGAGAAAAAAATAGTCGTACAAATCCGGAATCCCGCTTTAAAATGCCTTTGTCCATCCCAACGCCTTTCGCCTCCTAAAGGAGAAGAAGAACCTTTTTGAACATTTTGTCTGCGAAAAACAATTTTCCGGGCATGAATCGGATACGCAAACGCATTTTCGAATACTTATTTGCATGAGCCATGCAAAATGAATTTCCGTGGACCCTCATCTTTGTTAACGAGCATTGAAAAAAAAACCAATAGTGCATTATCGTTGATCGGAGTAACAATCTTATTAGCATATCTTTTTAGCATGGTTTTGTTGCAATTCTTACATTTTTTCGGCTTTGTAGAAAAGTGATCCATCAATGTTTCGAAACGGTTTCAGGAAAGCCCGTTCCTCTAACTTCTTTCTCCTTTTATAATATTGTACATTGAAACTGCAAGTGTGCCATGAAAAGGAATAGATGAGGACATGCTGCAATGATGCAAGTGTTCACAAATGCAAGTGTGATGTTTAAACTTTCCATATGTTATAGGCCATATAGGGTTTCTTAAAAGTTATGTAAAACTGTGATATTGGAAATTGAAAAGCGTTGCATATTTTACCATGTTTTTATGAACTCACTTTCTTGTCTGTTTGTTTGTCCGGAAAGTTTTGAATAAGAACTCAAACTCTTTTCAGAGGAGTTCATTCTCATTTCCCAGTTCATCAATTGGCTGTTAATTCAATGGTTGTAATGGCAGAGTCAATTGTGAGATTGATTGTTTAGCTCAGAATAATGAATGAGGTAATTAAAGTTAAAAGGCCCTTTAACACTAGGTTCTGACATTTTCTCTCAAAGAGGAATGAAGGCTTTTATAGCCAGGTGCTTGGACTGGGTCAGGATTGGCCAATTTTTGGAAAATCAAAGAAGTGATAACCACTTCTTGTCTTTGAGTGAGGCTCAGTAAGTCTTGCAAAAACAGGATTTTTGCCAGGCTCACTGGCCTCAGAAATGCAACTAGTTTTCTTGTCTGGTTGCAGCCAGATGCTGGAGCTGTGTCACTTCGGGAAGCAACACCTGTTTCACCAAATTTGAAAATAATTTCATCATTTTCAAGCAGAAAGTTATGTTTAATTTGAATTTCTCATGAAATACAGTTGATACAGGAATGCAATAGAAATTTACACCCCAACAACATTTGCCAGACGTGAAGCTTACTTTTGTGCAATAATTTGTTTCGTACCTTTCGAGATGAAAAAAATACCCAGAAATAAAAAAAAATTTGTTATGCTCTATTTATGAACAAGATGAACCAGCACTTTTCTAGGATTTGATTATTCTCTTGTTGTTCACTAGTGGAGATTGTTGTACGCCTTAAACAAAAATTAGTTGAAGTATCAAAATAATCCAACAATCTATCTTTGACTTAAAAATGCTCGCGAAACCACGTTTTTTTCATAATGAATTTTGAACGGAATTTTTTGATAACCCCCTCTTGAATACGATTTTTCTTTATTTTCACTTCCGTTCTCGGAGAAGCAAAAATAAAATTCTGCTAATCGAACATATTTCGGAAATTTCCAATACTCGAAAACCAAAATACGGCGTCTGTTGACCTCATTTTCGTACAATGACGGGGGAAAATTGGCAAAAAAAGGTGTGCTTCGGAATAAATCCAGGGGGAAAAAAATGAAAACAAGTGTTTCACAAATGCTTCCAAATGGATAAATGTGCGAAACATTTCCACTCCGTAAATTCTGGTATATAAGTTCGAAGCGATTGTTCGACACATCACATTTCCTGACTCGATCTCTGAAATAAAAGACAATAGCATCAAGCATCATCAACAACAACAACAACAACAAATTCTTTTCAATCATGTTCCCCCGTTTTGTTCTGGTGTTGCTCTTTCTGCGATTTTCTGCGGCAGATGATGTAAGTTTTATTCAAGTTTGATCAACTTTTTCCAAACAAATTAATCTTCAATCCGTATTTGTTATTTCACAGGAAATCAAACCAGTGTCGGAAGTTCCGGAAGTGGAACTACCTCAAAACAGCGACGCTGACAATTTATATCGTCCGAATGATGAAATCAAGCCAGTTGATGCAGATGAAAGCAAGGAAGGAAGTCGTTTGCCAGGGTTTTACAACTTGGCAGATTCTACACAAGTAGCTGAATTCGAGGCCACGTTGAAAGTGAAAGATGGAATCCAAAGTATGTCCCATTTCATTAGATAACAGGCAATTTTTTGAAGTACTGTATTGTACAGATGATTCTGCCTCGAGAAGAAAATATTTTTTTCAATTTATTTTTGAAAAATAAAACTTTGTAAAACTTTTTGAGGCTATTAAGGCCTTAAGTAGTCCATTGTTCACTCAAAAATTGAAATACATTCCGAATAATGCAACTCTTTGTGTCGTCTAATTAAAATATGATTTAATGATGAAAAGCCATGAGTGAAAAACTAGAGTTTAAACAAGAAAACCTTTTTGAAATTGAATTTAAGTAGACATCTTGATTTATATTGTTCAACGTCAATAATGGGCCCAGTTAATAAAAGTAAGATTCTTACAGTTGGAAATATACTTTGCAATATTCAATGAATTTTATATTCATAAAGGTAAGTATAATGGATGAAACAGTATTTAATAATGAATCAAACGCACATTACATTCATGAAAAAATGTCAAAATTCCATTTCTTTTCGCAGAAACTGGTCAGCTTACAACATGCTGTGAGTAAAAAACTTTTTGCTGGCTAGAAATATACTTCTAGCTCTTGGCAGTGGTGGGTCCTTTTCCACCCTGTGGATGGGCTGGGATTATGTTTTTTTATTGCAAGCTTTTGAATTTTGCTTGACCCAAGTTCACTGAAAGGTGGCTTTGGCTGAGTATAGCCAAAGTTGGAAAAATTCTAGGGAAGGGAAAGCTGTTGTTCTGAAAATCTCTCAATGCTAATCCTATGGCAGGAATGCAGAAAAACTGCCACCCAACCTTGACTTTTCTTCATTTTTGACAAAAAAATGTCTTCAGGACTGCTAAAAAATTTGGGATTTTTCCTGACTTTGGCTCTTCCAATCATTCTTGTTTTCTCCTCTTTTTTTGCTCCTTGTGACACACAATATTTTTGTATAATTCCTGACACTGCCACCCAAGGGTTGAAAGCTTTACCTTTTGTTAGTGTGTGGAAGGGAAAATGGGGGGAACAGAATTTTGGGAGGAACTCAGGTTCCCAACCAAGGATACTACCCATGGGTTGTGAGGCTCAGCACTGGTTGTGGAGGAGCTTTGGTCAGTGATAGATGGGTTGTGACTGCAGCTCACTGCATCACAGGGTGAGTAATTCACTTACACGCATCATGATAAATCAACTAAACCTTATCTGGGTGTAGGCTGAATACCTTGTGCTTTAATTTGTGTTTGTTAATTGCATGAATGAATGAACATAATGCTTTATTTTCTGCTTTTCAGCGTTCACAAGGTTCAATCAAAATTTCCACATCCAAACCCCCTCCCCACTCAACCCAAATCAACTCAAAGACATTTAATCACTTCAGAGCAGGAAACAGAGAACAAATGGATAACAAAAATAAAAGAAAATACAATCCACAGAATGCAACCAGACATCTAACATGTACAAATACACCCATTCCTTCCCTGACATTGAAAACAAAATATCAGTAACACTTAATTTAAATCACAAGGTCTTCAGCTTGTTCTGGATGATGTTTAGTTAAATGAACAATTTAGAGAGAATCTTTAATGAGAAATCATATACGGCCAACAGTTTATCGCTATCCTTTAAGATTTCAGAAAGGGTCTCTTCATTAAATCCAATACTTGTAAATCTTTCTTGAGCTCATTTCTATTAGTGTGAAATGCCGGACATAAGAAGAGAAGGTGCTCTGGTGATGCACAAACTAATGTATTTATGCTGCAGGAGTTACACCATTTAGACACCTTAGAAAATTGCACAACAACACAATTGTTATAACTGGTATTTTCTTTTTGTACTCTAGTATGGGGAACATAAGTGTATGCATTTACATCAGATGTGCATTTTTACATTTTGTGATGTATTTTCATTATCTTTAATACCAATAAACAGCTTATTTCTCTATTTTAATCATGATGTGTTGGGATGCTTTTGGATGGATTTGGGTGTAGAGGGGAAATGGTTTGGATGTTGGAATATCGCTTGAGCCTTGTGAATGCTGAAAAAAGGAAAATAAGGTTTTTTCAATCAACATCCTGATAAGGTCACTATTCTGTTGTGCATAGAGAGGTTTCATTCATCCAGGTTCAGCAGTATTTTCCCTGAAATTATTCTTGAATATCTTCCAGTCTCACGTCGGCATTACAACTGACCATCAAGTTCAGAGAACATGAACTCTTTTCTCCAACTGACCCAGGAGAATTCATTGTGTCAGCTGCTGCCATCCTGTATTACACTGGTCTTTACAACGCATCAACCATAAACTACGATTTTGCACTCATCCAATTGCCTGTTGCTGTGCCAATCACTGGACTGTCCAACATTCGGCCAGTTTGTTTGGTTCAGCAGGGATTCGACCTCAACGGATACACTGGGGTTCCCATCGGATGGGGCGTTTACGGTTGGAACTCAGTTCTTTTTTTTTATGTTGTAAAAACTAATTTGGGTATTTTTTTTCTGACAGTGAATGGAGTTGGTAGTCAGGCACCAATTTTGAGGGAGACCACAGTCACGATTTACAACAGGGCTGCTTGTCTGAGAGCTGGAGGTTTCCCAGCCTCAACCAGCATTTGCGGCTTCACCAAGGGACGAGGAATTTGCTTCGTGAGTTCTTCACAAACAGATGCAAACATTTTTTTAAAGCAATTTATTCAAAATACTCTTGAAATTTCATTTTGAAAAAGCGTGCTGAGAATCCTGAAAGTTTCCGTGGGTTTCTTCACAGATGCAGAAATTTCAGTCATTTATTCAAAATACTTTTCAAATCCCATTAGAAAATCTGCAAAAAATGGTTTTTTTTAAAGAAAAAAATTCCTAGAAAATTGTTGAAGAAGTATAATTTCCTCCAGAAAATCAGGGAACACAGGTTCTTCAAATCTAATATTTTCCCGAAAGTATATCAGAACTTCGTGAACCGATAGAAAATAGATATGCAGCAGTATAGGAGGAAAATGTGTCCAGTCAAAAATGAATAAAATATTATGTAACAGAGTGTGAGAGACCCGTTTTGGCAATTCTTCTTGATGTTTTTCACGTGCCATGTAATTGTTCGTAATTGCACTAATCAGCAGGTATTTATGCATTTATTTTTCTCTTATTCAAGCCTGCAAAAAAATGGCGATACCATTGATAATTTTTATAATTTATAAGGAAATTATAAAAAAAGTGTTTTGTCTTTAAAATATTCCCTCCGGTGCTTTCGAAAATTTTTCTTTTAATGAATAAATTGCTTAATGGGAATTTTAAAAATTGAATTCCACCTCTAAAAGAAAAAACATTATTAATTTCCTATAAAAATAAGGGAACTTTCTTGTTCGGAACGAACTTCACATTCTCCTTGAGAAGATTCTGTGGAATTATGAACCTTGAAACACTATTATAGGAAAGATTGAATTAATTTCAACTAATTATAAACTCCCGGATTATCAGTCCAATGATTTTAAATTTTTTTGAGTAAAATTGCGAAGCGGTCGGAAGGATAATTCGTTGAAACATTTTCACGAAAGTCTAAACATGAAGCTTTCAAAAACATTTTTGCCCATAATTTTCGAAAGTCTTTGTTGGCCGAAATTCGAGAGCATTAATTTCTCACTTGATGCAAATATACTTCGTAAAATCAAACTCATGAACATCGTGATTTTCGCTTTCAGCTTTTTTCTTTAAACGAAATTAAGGCATATTTGTTGAATGAAATAAATATTTGACGATCAATTTCCAGGGAGATTCCGGGGGCCCAATGACGGTGAAATCAGCAGGGAAACATTACTTGGCTGGAATCATGTCTGCCACTCACACCTTATCTGGTTCAAACACCTGTGACACAAACAGACCACAGTATTACACTCAGGCCACACGTAAGTATTTTTTTAAATCCCTTTTTCAGTACCCAAGTGGAATTTTTTTCATGAAGTTTGAAGAGAGGCCTTTGACAAATGTTCCGGTTACGAAGAAGTTCTGCAGTAATCTTCAGCTGAAACGAGCTGCCCGAAACACTTCCGTTTTTCGAACGTAGATGTCGCTGTGTACGTCACCTTCCTCCTGTCGCGGAAAGCATAACTATAATTTAGAATTTTTGTCAAGAAAATATTGGAACTATAATAACCGCTTCGAGGAAATTGTATAGATTTTCAGTCTTTTTGTTTTTCTAGCTATGACATGGGGAATTAAATTGCCAATCATGAAGGGTTTTTGTTTCGCAAAAGGTATGAATGATATTGATACTTGCGATTTGGTTTACAATCTACAAATATCTCAGGATTTGCACCGCCATCGTTTTTTTAGAAATGAGAATCTAAACTCAATTAATTTTTTTAAATGAAAAGTACTCAACGTGAAATTTTTCCATTTTGTTTTTGCAGTTTTCACCAATGTCATCGTCCAGTACGCGTGGTCCGGAATTTCAAACTATTGCTCTTACTGATGATGACAACTCGAAATGCGGCTCTTTTCGGCAAATACCTGGATTGAATTGGAAAGAAACATGCGAATGTGAAATACAAATTTCCTCAGATTGATTGATCAGCATAAGAAACCTGTCTTTTCCGTTTTATAGCGAGAGAATTCGAAAAAAACAACAGTAACCAGCTCTTTTGCAGGTTTAGAGGGGAAGATTGCGTCATCTTACGAACATTTTTTGGCTTTGAAATTTTATTCAGTGAGTGCTACAATTATTCGTGAATTTTCCCCTTTGGACTTCGTCTTGAAATCGTTAATGGGAAAATTCCAAATTTCAACAGATGATAGAAATTTGTTTTCAAAACTCAAAATCAATTACTCATCATCAATAAAAGCATTTTATATCAATTGAAAATGAACATATCAATCGTTCGAAATTAAAGCACAAATAAAATTAATTAACCATATGTTTCTATTGAAGTAATATGTTTTTTTCTCCTTTCCGGAACGTGTAATTTTTTTTTTGGCACCGCTGGGAGCAATAAATACTGATTCAAAATGTATTCCATCAACAGATGTGAAGACAATTTTGGAGCAAAATCCTTGAACTCTACTGATTTTTCGTTAAAAAAGTGCAAAAACTCCTAAAAATAATGTTTGGGGCTATGCTTCATGTTCGCAGTATTTTGTTCATGTGACTGTTGAATCGACCAAAAATTTGTTTTTTTTTTTATGGGAAAGAATTTTTTGGATAGATTTAAATCCTGATAATTTTTTTCGAAGTTCTGAAAAGCATTATTCCTATCCAGAAATGATTCATGAAAATGAACAGAGGCCTTTTTCAAATCGAGCAGTGTTTTCTTTCTCTCTTTCTCTTTTTGATCGCAACCGCCAACTACAATAAATAAACCCTTCAAATAAATATATCACTGCGTGAAAACGACGTGAGGTGATGCTCAAAAAAAAAAAAGGGGTCGGGGATGAAGGTCACTTCTTGACAAGGTTCGTTTTGACAAAATTCTCAAATGAGAAGCTGCATTCCGGGAAGGCGTCTTCGCAGGGCTCGTGGTTCAAATCCCCGACGGGTTCGTGTCCATTGCCAAAAGAAACTGCAAATTTCAACTGGTCCACCAGGATTTTTATGGGCGGGGGCAGATCCAACCAAGTTTCCAACGTGTCAGCGAGTCTGAAATGGTTGAAAACTTTCATCAAACAGCCCTTCCAAAAATACTGTATTCATTTCTTTAGAAAAGAATAAAGACATGGCTTTGCAATGAAAAATTATTCCCATATTTAAAAAAAAACTCTTGGAGCTGCGACACAAAAGTATGGATATTATAATTTTTTTTTCAAGGCGAATATGAGAAAAGCATTATTTTCTTTTCTCGAGGATTTCTTCTCCAAAACAAAAAAACATTTTAGGCTTTATACAGAATTTTTGAAGAATATATTTCTCAAGGAATAAAAAAGACATGACTTAACATTGAAAAATAATTTCAAGATTTCAAATAAAACCAATTTTGGAGCTGCGAAGCAAAAAAAAGGAAAGTCCTTGTCATCGTTATGCAAATATACATAATACTGTAAGTATATTACTGAATTTGAAAGAACCATTTTAAAAAGCATCATTTCACTCCAAGCCGAAAGCATTTGTGGGCTTCAGCTTTAAATTTCAAATACCGTGATTTCTGCTTGACATATTGCGTCATTTTTTTACAATTGAATATAGATTTTGGAATCACCTGAAAGCCCTGTCGGCCCCGATTCGGTGATAGGCCTCAGTCTTGGACAACTGACACATCAGTCGTCTGTGACAGTCGACACTCTTGACGTCATATCCGTCGTACATCTCCTTCGCCAACTCGACCACGTGCAAAATGTTTTCCATTGTGGAGAATCCTTCTTCTTCCTCCAAAGACCTGATTTTCATTCGTGCGGAAATTGTTTTTTCAAAAAAAAAATATTAGCAAAAAGTATAATATAGCTATAATCAATAAAAGCAACGCTTCGGTTTTAGTTCAGGTTAGAAATCCACCTCCAAAAAGTAAGAAAATCTGCGACACTTCATTTCTAACGGATGTTGAAGTTTTATCGATTATTTGTTGAGCGAATTTTAAATTTCAGCGAGGAAAATATTTACAATTTAGCGATTTTTCGTAGGAAGAACCAGTTTTCCTATAGACAATTCCAGGATTGCCCAAAAAAGTTGAATATGTCTCTCGCAGAAATTTTGACGTTATTCAAAAATTATTAAAACTCCTCCCATTGTTTTTCAAGTCATGGTTTTTGCGTTGGAAATAAGAGAAATGATCCGCAATTTTTGAAAATGATTCGAGATCAAGTTAATTTGGAAATTCAACTTTTTGAGTAAAAATTGGGGAAATAATGAATAAAAAATATGAAAAAGGAGCTTGACGCTAGTTTTGGTTCATTTAACAATAAAACATGACAACAATATTTTTCCTATATTATATTGTTAAGTTCTTCACACTTCTTTGCGGAATATATTCTTTAGTTCTTGGACGGCCTGAAATATTCTCAAAGTCCACATTTTCCTCAAAATGTCGAACAGAAAAAATTGTAAAGTATAATTCTTCAAAAATTGCGTCAACCTGTATCCCAAAAAATTTGAAAAATACCTATAAAAATGTTCAACTCAAACCACGTATAATTGAGAAGCATCATCGGCTCAAACATTTTTTTATCGCAGACCTGCAAATTTTAGTACGCTTGAATAGTACCAGGATTAGTACCAGTTAGTCGTACCCAAATTTTATAGGTAAAATCGAAAAATGTTGGTCAGTTATTTCACGTTTACTAAATTACTAGAATTTGTCAACCTTCTCCTGCGTCTGGAGAAGGATCCGAGTCCAGCAAACAAAGCCAGTGCCACTGACAGCAACCCCATCGCGACAGAACTCGACACTAAAACCCCGCCGACGACTTTGCTGACGATCGTCTGTTCGACCGTGATGCTTTTAGCAACAATCCCAGTGCCATTTCCGGCAGAATAATCGACAGCATTGGCACCCGAGCACGTCATTGCAACCCAGGTCAAAATTAAAATTGGTTTGAACATTTTTTTTTCTTTCGCGAAGATGTCCCGACGAAAGCTGGGTTTTCACTGAGCCCAAAAACTCAACCAGATGACATTAATATGGTCTTGGGTTTTCCATTATGTACAGGGGTTCTCGGGTTTTTTTTTTAGGGTTCATTTTCTGTCTGGTCACCTTTGAGTGTTTATCACAGTTGACTTCAAGACTGTTTTTTTTTATTCTTCACACGAAAGGTTGTCATTATTTACTTGGACTACTTCATGAGAGAACAAGAGGGGGGGGGGCTTTTCTTCACCCCGAGGGTTTTCAATAATAAACACACGAGTTCTGCGTTTTTAGGTCAGCCCACAACCCAAGTGAAAACTCAATTTCAGCTTTTGATGAGTGGGGTTTATGGAAATACATAAAAACGCCAGACCTCTTCTGGAATGAAGCCCTTAACTGAAGACTTTAATGCAGCAATATTTTGAAGGGGATGGAGGAACTTAACCCAGCAAGCTATAAAAGTAACCTTTTTAAAACCAAGGTTTATGAAGTGTATGCTTCAGAAAAATACATCCATTATTGGTGAGGCATGCGGAAAAAAATCATTTTGAAATTTTCATCTTAAGAAAATTGAATTCCAAAATGTATCAAAATTGCTGCTAAGATTTGTCCAAGTAATGGACACTCACATGAAGTTTAAAGGTGTGATATTTTTTTAAATTGATTAAAATCATGTGTATGATATTTTTGTCATTTCATGAATAACTTTGTCTCCTTTTCCCCTATCACTCAAAAATGCATACAAGACAAATTAAACGTGTACATTTTTGACTGAGAAAGAGGGGGTTTTAGAAAAAATTACCCAATAATTCAATAAATTCTCAAGTACGATATTAGATTATCCAAACATTTCAATGCAGTACAAGTGGTACCTTGCAATTTGACCCCAATCTGTTGCTGAACTGGGGTCAAATTGAAAATTGGTCAAATTGCAAGACACTCTGTGAAATTTAAAAAGATGAGTACTGTACAAAAGCACAAAAATAATGGAAAAGGAGGTCAAATTGCAGGGCAAGGGTCAAATTGCAAGTCAAACTCCCTGGAAATTTGACTGTTGAATTGCGGTATGGTCAAATTGCAAGTTATCACCTGTATATATGAATACAGGTTCAGTGATGTTTCAGGCATTCATTCAACCCAATTAAAAAAAAAACCAAATTGAAACAAAGTCATTGATATAGCTGAAAATAAAAGTAAAAAGTGAGAAATTTTACTGCAAGGAGAAAACTTATGCGCCAATGAATTTTTAAATTTTGTGCCTACAAATTGATTTCCCAAACAAAAATTCCCCAAATATTACATTAGAAAAAACAGTTTGTATTGTGATTCATGTGATATGCTACATTTTCCCCACTTGCATCTCACACAATAATTCAGCTTCATAAAATAAATACTATATTTAATATTAGGACTTTGGAAGTACAAGGATTTTGTTTGGACTTCAGAATTTGAGTTTCATTGGTGCCTCTGAAGTTGATACATTCAGACATAATTGTCTTCTTATATCTTCATTTTGTGTGTGTTGAAATGATGGAAGGAAAATAAAATAATTTTTTACTTTTGTGTCTTCCACAAAAGTTTGGAAAAAAATACCTCCTCCGTCTGCCATTAACAGTGTTGTTGACAGTGGTCACAAGCTCAAAAGAGACCCCGGACACAAGAGCGTAGGAAATGAGTCCCAGGGCTGCCAGATACGGAGGCCACCAAATAAAAGTTGAATTCGTCAAAATGGTAGTCAAGTAATTTGGCAATTGGATCTGCCTGTAGTCCCCATAAGCAGGCCTGCTTCCCAGCTTGAAAAACTTGGCCAGGAACCCAACCACGCCTGGCCCTTCACCACCACCACTGTACCCATGAGCACCTCCTGGCCCATGGTACCCGGGTTCTGCTCCATAACTGCTTCCAGATGAGGAATCCGGGTACCCCAGGGTGTAGGGGGATTTTAAATTTGCCAAAAATGGCTCATTGTAGCCTTCGCGTTCCAGATTCTGAACCTCTTCATCGTCATGATCATTCTTCTTCGTTGTCGGTGTTGTGGTTTCACCGTTTGGGAGCGTGGAACTGGTTTCGAGGTCTTCTGACAAGTTCCAAGCGTAGTCAGTGACATCTAGGTCATTCCGCGCAAAGTCCCGGATCAGCTTGGACGCTACCGGCGTCGGGAAAAGTTCTCCCATCAACAGGCAGATGACGCACACGGTCGCGAATAATTTCCGGCGCATGTCCTGAAGATTCCCATTGACATAAAAAAAAATGGGGGGAATAAAGAGGTCCTTTCCGGTTTTCCCTAACCGATTCTTTTGAGATAAAATTGAATAAATTACTTTCTCTCTGTTTCGCATAATGTCCTCTGACGGTCATTTCCCTTCCAGATTTATTTTTTTCGCCCCAGATTCCCCGTTACGAAAAGCAAATAAAAACGGTGGGCTGTAAGCAAAGTTTGCACAGAGCAACGGTGTGCGAAAGGAGGAAGACGAAAAAAAGCACAGAACCGTAATGTGATTGCGTGCAAAGAGGTCAAACACAGGTTTTCTTTGCCTCCAGGATGTGGAGCAATTCCCTCGAACATTTCACAGCGGGGGACAAAAAATCTGAAAGTCAGATTAGCTGCTTCAATAACCTCGAAAACGTTTTTTTTTTTAAAGATATTAAACTTTAAAATTTAATTTAAAGATTTAAATTAAAGATTTAATTTAATTTAAAGATATTAAAGATATTAAAGAAAGTCAGATTAGCTGCTTCAATAACCTCGAAAACGTTTTTTTTTTTAAAGATATTAAACATTGACTCAATGGAAATGTTGGGTCTTTGTCTTTGCTTGTATCAGCGAGACGCTGAAGTACAGGAATGAAAAAATTATTTCATATATGGTTTTATTTGAAATATAGAAGTGCGAAAAATTAGAGGTGAAATTAAGTAAAAAGTACAGTCAACCTTCATTCAGTGCACCCAATTGAATAGTATTTTACTTCACCTTGTGCCTCTAATCTCAACTAAATAAATCTTCCTCTTTTTCATCCATGTGCATATCTTTTCTGCAAATTTGTATAGAGCTTTGAATTTCACAGGAAGGGATATTTTAACCCTTCTGCAGGAATGTTACACTTTTTCCCCCAGTTTTTGGTTGCACTTCAGAATCACATTTAACCCTTTTGTGGCAAAGTTGGGATACTTTTGTCACATTTTGTTCCCATGAGCTTCAGAAATAAAATAAAAAGATTTTTGAACCAAAGCCAGGAGAAGGGGCAATATTTTTGTAATCCTGCAGAAAATTTTGCATTAAAAATTAAAGAAATCCCTCACTGGGTGGTGTTTTTTTCTGCATTCCTGGCATAGGATCAGCATGGAAGATTCCTGAAAACAATAAGAAATTTGCCTCCCAGATTTTCCCAGTACCCAACCAAAAGCCCCCCCTGCCAAAAGCCCCCCTAGGGCTTAAACTCTTATTGTTGTGACTCAATCAATGTATTTGTTTTGTCTGTGAAATATTCATCAGTGATAGTCAAGAATGAAAGTATACATCCTGATTGAGGAGAAGCTTGCATCCAATTTAAAAAAAAAGTTAGGGGGGCTTTTGGCAGGGGGGGCTTTTGACCTAGGGGGGCTTTAGGCAGGGGGGCTTTCTGGGGGGGGGGGGGCTTTTGCCCTAGGGGGGGCTTTTGGCAGGGGGGCTTTTGGACTACACCCAATTTTCCCAAACGTATGTCTTCTCAACCTGGGTGCATTTCAGTGACCTTGGGTCAAACTTAAATGCCCCTCCCCCAAAAAATCCTGAGTTTGCTGCAGGAAGGCCAGGAACCCTACACTGCCCAAGGGTTAAAAACCCATGCCAGTCTGTTCAAGGCAAAGTTGAGAATAATCCTACTATTTTTTTTCCACAGAAACATTTTACTCAGAACTGGAAAAATTGCCTCTTCAAGGATCACTTTCTTTTCCATGACCTTGTGTTTTTTTTTCATTCAAAGATTAAATTTAAGCTTGAAAGCTAGGAGCTCAGGTTAGAGGTCACTATACAGAAAAAGTCCAACTTGGGACAATTGCAGCATTTCTTTATCCCTGGATAAAACGTGACTTTTCCCTTCCTCGCCCTGCAGGGATTGCATAACCTTGGGGTAACCCTTGGAGGGTTCTTTCTCAGTACATGGTGGAATTGGGATTTTTCTGGGGGCAGCACATTTCAGTTTGACCCAAGGTTACTGAAATGCGCCCAGGTTGAGGAGGACTAAGTCGGGAAAAATCTGGGAGGCAAATCTTCTTTTGTTCCCAAGATTTTCCCATGCAAATCCTATGCCAGGAATGCAGGAAAAAATGCCACCCAGCCAGGGATTTTTTTTTAATTTTTGTTGAAAATTTTCTGCAGGATTAGAAAAAAATCTTGGACTTTTTCCTGACTTTGCCCTTGGTGAAAAAAAATTTTTTTTATTCCCAGTGCCCAGCTGCACAAAATTTTGCAAAAATATCCTGACTTTGCTGCGCAAGGGTTAAGATGAAATTCAGGCCCAACTGAACAAAGTCCAACTTTGCCCTGCAATGAAAAGGAGGCTGTTGCCATCCAAGGGTTGAATATCTTGTCATCATTTTGCCCCCAGGGGTGATGGGTTTTCCTTCTTTTTTTCCTTGGTGTTGTTAGTCATTAATGTTCAATCTCATATCCCAGTACAATGTGTCTCATCGTCGCGGGGAAAACTACTGATGGGTTAGTCGGTTCCACAACTGTGGTCACCTTTTCGTGAAACTCTGCTTCCCATATCCATAACCAGATGGCGCCGCGGAACCACGCATGGCGCCACCTCCTCCTTTCCTCAAATCCCCGTCCACCTCGTTGTCCAAATCGCTGACGATCGACTCCGGATAATCCCTGACGACGACACCATCCGAGTCGGTGCCATCGTCATCGTCACTATTGTCTCTCCGTCGTCCAACAAACATGGTCGACAGGGACACCGACGCTGCAATAATGGCCGTGATGGCGCCGAGCCCGATAACAGTGCCAACCACGATTGGCATCGGTGTCGAGGTTGAAGAAAGTGGCAACAGGAGAGATGTTTTGTCAGTGAAGTACTTGAGGCCCGGGAAAATTTGAATGCCTGGCAATTGGACGCCCATGTCGTTGCCGACGCCCAGAAGGAACCTGGGGCGACGGGTTTTGGGTTCCGGCGCCGTTTTCTCATTATTGGAGGCGGAGGAGTCACAGAGCGCAGGTGCTGCTATGAGTAGCAGAAGGAGGAAGCAGCACAGAGCCGGCAGCCATTTGTGGGAATCCATTTTCCTATATTTTTTTTTCACCCCGCTTCTTTTCTGAATATAGAATTGAAGCCGATCGATCGGCGAACGCGCGATTATTAAACAAAAAAAGCGTATAATTTCGAATGAGGTTTTGATCAAAGAAATTTTTACATCGACAAAAATTGAAACCAAATTCAATTTTTTGTCGCTAAATATTTTTTTTCGACTTTTTGAAAAAAACATAAGCGTAGAAGCCACCATCCTTAGTAAAGAGGATTTTTTTCGCGAAATTTGCTTCGAAAATGTTTTCATGCCTGTCAAAAATGTAAAATAATATAAGTTGCGTCGATAGTTTTCAAATTTTAAAAGCCGTCCTATTTTTTCAATTGAAGCCAATTTTTCTTTAATTTAATAATAATATCGTGTTTCTATAGTTTTATGTTAAATAAATCCCTCTCCCGTATTCAAGAAAAATTGAAGCCGACGTGTAGAAAATAATTCCTTGAGTCGATTTTTCTTCCCCTTTCAAATACGCCACAGAGATTTACATTATCTATATGATTATTTGAAATCGGGCACAAATTTTTGTTCCCGAAAAATTGGCTATATAATGAAGCTCATTTCCTGTAGAACTCAAAGAAATGCTGCAGCAAACATGTTTCAACTACTTTTGTTAATAAGAGAAGTTGAATGTTGGTTAATGAATGGTGATTCCGAATCCAAGAAAAAAGTGTGTATAATGAATCAGGTTAAACCTCAATCTTTTTTCTAAGTGAATTTTTAATCAATTCATAAGAACTTTGGGCTCAAAAGCTACTCTCAGGTTTTTAGAAAAAGGTCACATTAGAAGGTAAAATGAGGGAAGAAGATTCAAAAAATATTTGCCCAGAAATGACGATAAGCGTTGATTCTTGAGTTTTAGTCCGTTTTTCTCTGCTCTAAAATGAATATACAGTATTCAGCTAAAAACCAATTAAATCCTTAGTATAATATCTTCAGATGAGTATAAATTTTCGGAAAAAGTAATTCTGTAAGAATATTTTTATTGACATTCCACTCATATTCCAGAATCGAAGAAACATGTTCGTATTCTGCAGTAGATCGAATATAAAGTTTGAATTCAAAAGTCTCATTTTGACTGAATAAATTTTTCTCCAGGGGTTTCCAAACTAACTCTTCAATTCCTCGCCCAGCATAAATTTCTTCATTGTTTTGAAAATTCCATCAGTGACCTTTTACAGTATTTAAAAGCCGTCAAATATTTTTTTTTTAATTTCGATGCAACTTGAGCCGGATGATTAAGACGAATAATTTTATGAAATTCCCTTTGAACGTAATCTTTCAAATTATTTCGAATAAAATTATTCTAAAAATTTCGAATAATCGAATAATGATCTTGAAAAATATTATTAATCGTCCTTTGAATAAGGGAGCTTTTTTTCCTCATATTTAAATATTCAATGAGAATAACGTACTTGAGAAACCCGTGTTTGAATTTTTTTTTGTAAAGAACGTTCTGATCTATACCCTAGTCCACGAATTTTTTTTCCCAAGGTCCCTTTCTAAATTAGATATTGTTCTACAAACTTGTACTACTTTATGTTGCACCTTCTTTTTGTCGCCGTTTTTGTTGCCTTTTTGTGCCTTGATGGAAGCTTTTAACAGCCCAACATTAAAAAGAAGCGTCCAATTTTCCGGTGACTGACTTTGGGACAGAATCAAGTACCGTTCCGTTACATAGAAGATAACCAGTCTGAAACTTGTTCTCCGAGTGGAAATTATAGATAGGATCTCGTTCTTTGACTTGGGTCTCAGAAATTCTATCCTATGGTCCTTTAGGGATGGTCGAAACTGGTTAAATAATGATGATCACCTCGGAGATATTATTTCCAAAGTTAAAAGACCTGACTCGGACTCCTCTTCCTTCTACTTACTAAGGCTAGTATACATATGATTTCTTGAAAAAAAAACCAGTACTTTTACGAATTAAATGTACCCAAAAATTTTCGCTTTTTTTCTATTTTTTCAATTTTTTTTTTTCATTCCGTCAAATACCAACTGCTGGACGTTGGTACTATGAATCATTTTTAAAAGTTGTATTTTGCATATTTTCTCCTGGAAATCTTCGACTTACATTCCGAAATGTCTTATCAAATGTTAATTTTCTTAAATTTTCTGTCGTAAGTCAATTCAGTGCATATTTTTTTCCTCATCATGCATCGATTTTATGGTGTTTTTGACAGATGGTAAAATTGATAATACAGTAATACAATTTTAAAAATTCAATTCGTGTTCGTCTCGTAGTGGCTCAAGATTCTCCAGTAAATTTTAAAGACTAAAAACCTTTGCTTCCGCTTACCATGAAAATGTTTTTAAATTGTCTCAAATAATATTCATATACTAAAGTCAGGTTTAACAATAAGTGGCTTCATAGCAAATTTTCGAAATGTTTCACCCGCCAAAAATTCCCCGTTGAAAATAACGCCCTGAACCCCATTCATACCGAAAATTGTTAAAACTCCTCCATTTTCGGAAGGAAATAAGTTGTTGAATGTTGGTTAGAGTTAGAAGTTAGTTTAAACCTCAACCGCCAACAATAAATTTGGATGTGGGATACATGGGATTGTAAAGTGACATCACTCGATGATCCCTGATGATAATCTTTTCTTTCGGAAAAGGTCATTAATTGAAATATAATTGAAATTTGCACAGCTTTATTTTAAAACAGAACGACATCTGAGACATAATCAAGAATCGAATTGTCTTGAAATTTGAGCAGCAATTTTCGGATTTTTTTTTCTTCCGAATATCAGGAAAGAAAACTCACTTTCAGTTGCCGCATAAACCTTAAGATATTTAGAATGAAAATAAAAACTCTCGCAGCTGACCTGAATAAATTTATAATTTTCGTGCCAAAAATCACATTTAATACAGCGATGTAGTTTGAAAAATATTATCGCTACTTAACCTATTTATAACTTTTTTCAGGATGACTTTTTTTCTGAATAACCGTGGCAAGCAAACAAATTTTAATTTCTGTACTGTATATACATGTATTTAAAAAAAATTTGTTAATCTTTGCTGAAATATGCTCATGAAATGAAATGCCCATGAACACACATTTCTTTACAATTACTTGTCATTAAAAATTTCAGGAAGAATACAAAATTAAATACAGCTTGATTGAAATTTGTCGTAGTTTTCGAGGCAATAAGCACAATTGAACCTTTTTCTTTTTGAATGTGGGAAGATTATCAAAAGGGATACAATTTTTTGGGTCACATATTTTGTATATATTCATTCGTTTTTTTTTCAATAGGGGGCATATGAGGGTGGGGTTCAAAAAAAAGTTGGAAGACCAAGAAGCCCGTCAAAGCTGCTAGCACGCTGAGGACATCCGTATCTCAGGGTCCGGGCGCTAGGGCCGGTCCCGGTGTCGGTGCCTGGGTTTGTGCCCGTTGCACCTGACGATCCCGGCCCGTTTCCTCAACTCCGTCCACCGACTCCGAACCCCGGCAACCAGGTTCGGCAGCACTGTTTTGAAGTAATTCTGAACCCAACGCTGGGACGGGGTCTTGAGCGTGTCGTACTTTTGCCCAACGTAATAGTACTCATTCACGACGCTTTCGAGGTCGTCGGGGTGTCGACCATCGTTGTTGTTGTTGTTGTTATTATTATTATTATTACTGATGTTTGGGTTTCCTTTGTTGTTGTTGTGGGAGTGGTGTTGTTGTTCTTCTTCTTCTTCTTCTTCCTCGTCGTCGTCAGTGTTGGGCCCTGTGTTGTAGGCTTCGTCTTCGTCGTCGTCGCGATGATGGTTGTTGTTGTTGTTGTTGTACAAACACGCGACCAGGCTGTACTTGGGCGGCCGGTCCATGCCGACATGCAGGGTCATGGTCCGCTAGACCACGCCGCTACCGCTGTGACGACTGCGACCCACAACTGGTGTGTTGTAGAAAGTTAATATTTCAGTTTCTGGTTTTTTTTTGGGAGTTTTTTTTTTAAGGCTGATTGTTGATATCGGCGTTGTCTGATTTAAAAAAAAATAAAATTCGGGCCTCGATTTATGTGCTATTTTTTAAGAAAATTATTTTTAAATTTAAAGCAATTTTCCTGTTTTTTTTGTTGACTTGTTTCAAATTTTTGCTGGTTTCGACATCAGCGTTGGCTGATTTTTTAAATAAATATTTTGATTTTATTTTATTTGGTCCCGATTGTTGGGTTATTTCCGTAGAAAAATTTGACCAGGAGTTTAAAATTGTATGTAAATCTTTGGTAGCTTGGTCAACAGATGCTTCGCATAACGGATTCGCTGCATTATGGGTGTTTACCGGCCCACACCGTCTTTCAACTTATTTCAGTTTTATTTTTTTTTGGTTTTTTTTCTTTTTTGGAATGCCGTCGGTTTTGACGTCAGCTTTTGCTGATTTCATTTTTATTATGTCGTTTCGGGTCTCGATTTCTGTGTTATTTCCACAGAAAATAAGACCAGTTTAAAATGAACAATGGAACTTTGGTAGACTGATGGTTAACAGATACTTCGCATAACGGACTCGTTGGGCGTTCTACCACACTCTTTCAATTTATTGCAATTTTTCTACTTGTTTTTGGTTCCGACGTCAGCTTTTGCTGATTTAATTTTTTTTTTTTCGGGACTCGATTCCTGTGTTATTTCCGTGGAAAATGAGACCAGTTCAATATAGACAATGACACTTTGGTACTATATCCTGAAGAATAACAGAGGCTTCGCATAACAGACTCGATGGGGGGGGGGCGATTTTAATTATTTTTTGGATAGTGGAGTTTAGTGGGAGACGAATAATCATGGGCTACAAAATATTGAAGTTTCTGTAGAAAATCTGTCCCCAAGAATTATTTCTCAAAGTACACAACAGTATAGGACGAATCTTTTATGAAGTGAATTTTGAAAAGGATTGAAGCAAAAAATGAGTTCAAACTTTTTCGGAAATGCTTCCAATAGCCTCGTGAACAATTTTAAATTTCGTTCCTTTTTGAATCTTTATCTTTTTTGAATCGAGAATACGAAGTGGAGCCTCTATAATAAAGGTTTCAATTTTCTGGACTGAGCCTGAGGAGAAGGAAGATGAATGATTCCGATCATATGTATACTAAAGAACTTTTTTTTTGGTCATGAAAATGCTTAATTTACATGGCAAAAATTTTCGCTTTTTTCTATTTTTTCAATTTTTTTTTTTGCATTCCGTCAAATACCAACTGGACGTTGGTACTATGAATCATTTTAAAAAGTTGTATTTTGCATATTTTCTCCTGGAAATCTTTGACTTACATTCCGAAATTTATTATCAAATGTTAATTTTTTCAAATTTTCTGTCGTAAGTCAATTCAGTGCATATTTTTTCATCATCATGTGTCGATTTTTTTGTGTTTTTTGACACAGATTGTAAAATTGATAATGCAGTAATTCAATTTTTAAAAATTAAATTCGTGTTCGTCTCGTAGTGGCTCAAGATTCTCCAGTAAATTTTAAAGACTAAAAACCTCTGCTTCCGCTTACCATAAAAATGCTTTTAAATTGTCTCAAATAATATTCATACTAAAGTCAGGTTTAACAATGAGTGGTTTCATCCAAAATTTTCGAAATCTTTCACCCGCCAAAAACTTCCCGCTGAAAAACACGCCCTGAACCCCATTCATACCGAAAATTGTTAAAACTCCTCCATTTTCGGAAGGAAATAAGTTGTTGAATGTTGGTTAGAGTTAGAAGTTAGTTGAAACCTCAACCACCAAAAATGAATTTGGATGTGGGATACATGGGATTGTAAAGTGACATCACTCGATGATCCCTGATGATAATCTTTCTTTCGGGGAAGGTCATTAATTGAAATATAATTGAAATTTGCACAGCTTTATTTTAAAACAGAACGACATCTGAGACATAATCAAGAATCGAATTGTCTTGAAATTTGAGCAACAATTTTCGGATTTTTTTTCCGAATATCAGGAATTTATAAAAAACGCACTTTCAGTTGCCGCATAAACCATACGATATTTAGAATGAAAATATAAAACTCTCGAAGGTAACCTGAATAAATTTATAATTTTCGTGCCAAAAATCACATTTAATACAGCGATGTAGTTTGAAAAATATTATCGCTATTTAACCTATTTATAACTTTTTTCAGGATGATTTCTTTTTCTGAATAACCGTGGCAAGCGCGGACAAATTTTAATTTCTGTACTGTAAATATATCTTTAAAAAACGATTTTATAGCTATAATCTTTGCTGAAATATGCTCATCAAACGAAATACCCATGAACACACATTTCTTTAGAATTAATTGTCATTAAAAATCTCAGGAATAATACAAAAAAATATACAGTTTGATTGAAATTTTTCGTAGTTCTCGAGGCAATAAGCGTAATTTAATCTTTTTTCCTTAAAATTTCGGAAGATTATTATCAAAAGGGATTTAATTTTTCGGGTCCGTCACATATTTTGTAAATATTCATTCGTTTTCTTTTTCAATAGGGGGTATATGAGGGTGGTGGGGTTTGGTTGGGTTTATTATATTTTTTTTTTTCAACCTTCTGGTTCTTCGGGCAGTTTCGACGATCGTGCGACTCCTGTAGGCATAGAGTCCCAGGCCCGCGATCCCGGCCAGGGCCACAGCCACGGACCCAAACACGGGCAACGTGGACTCGATCCCGGCCCGTTTCCTCAACTCCGTCCACCGACTCCGAACCCCGGCAACCAGGTTCGGCAGCACTGTTTTGAAGTAATTCTGAACCCAACGCTGGGACGGGGTCTTGAGCGTGTCGTACTTTTGCCCAACGTAATAGTACTCATTCACGACGCTTTCGAGGTCGTCGGGGTGTCGACCATCGTTGTTGTTGTTGTTGTTGTTGTTATTATTATTATTATTACTGATGTTTGGGTTTCCTTTGTTGTTGTTGTGGGAGTGGTGTTGTTGTTGTTCTTCTTCTTCTTCTTCCTCGTCGTCGTCAGTGTTGGGCCCTGTGTTGTAGGCTTCGTCTTCGTCGTCGTCGCGATGATGGTTGTTGTTGTTGTTGTTGTTGTTTGTGCGCTGGTCCGACATGAACCCGCCGGCCAGGTACGGCTGTACGTCCCAGTACCAGGCGATCTGGTGCGGCGATGGCGACACTGCTGACGCTGGGTGTTGACCACACAACATCTTTCAATTTATTTCAGTTTCTGGTTTTTTTTTGGGAGTTTTTTTTTTAAGGCTGATTGTTGATATCGGCGTTGTCTGATTTAAAAAAAAATAAAATTCGGGCCTCGATTTATGTGCTATTTTTTAAGAAAATTATTTTTAAATTTAAAGCAATTTTCCTGTTTTTTTTGTTGACTTGTTTCAAATTTTTGCTGGTTTCGACATCAGCGTTGGCTGATTTTTTAAATAAATATTTTGATTTTATTTTATTTGGTCCCGATTGTTGGGTTATTTCCGTAGAAAAATTTGACCAGGAGTTTAAAATTGTATGTAAATCTTTGGTAGCTTGGTCAACAGATGCTTCGCATAACGGATTCGCTGCATTATGGGTGTTTACCGGCCCACACCGTCTTTCAACTTATTTCAGTTTTATTTTTTTTTGGTTTTTTTTCTTTTTTGGAATGCCGTCGGTTTTGACGTCAGCTTTTGCTGATTTCATTTTTATTATGTCGTTTCGGGTCTCGATTTCTGTGTTATTTCCACAGAAAATAAGACCAGTTTAAAATGAACAATGGAACTTTGGTAGACTGATGGTTAACAGATACTTCGCATAACGGACTCGTTGGGCGTTCTACCACACTCTTTCAATTTATTGCAATTTTTCTACTTGTTTTTGGTTCCGACGTCAGCTTTTGCTGATTTAATTTTTTTTTTTTCGGGACTCGATTCCTGTGTTATTTCCGTGGAAAATGAGACCAGTTCAATATAGACAATGACACTTTGGTACTATATCCTGAAGAATAACAGAGGCTTCGCATAACAGACTCGATGGGGGGGGGGCGATTTTAATTATTTTTTGGATAGTGGAGTTTAGTGGGAGACGAATAATCATGGGCTACAAAATATTGAAGTTTCTGTAGAAAATCTGTCCCCAAGAATTATTTCTCAAAGTACACAACAGTATAGGACGAATCTTTTATGAAGTGAATTTTGAAAAGGATTGAAGCAAAAAATGAGTTCAAACTTTTTCGGAAATGCTTCCAATAGCCTCGTGAACAATTTTAAATTTCGTTCCTTTTTGAATCTTTATCTTTTTTGAATCGAGAATACGTAAGACAGAATAAATTCGAAAGTGCATCGCATAACCCGACCAAAAGTTTAGAACACCTAATTTGGATAATACTATTCAAACCTTTCATCTAAGAGAAAGTTCAAAATGCAAACCCGGAATGCTGCTATTTTAAATTCCATTACAATTTCAAATGTTCCTCATGAATAATGTAGAGACGTTTCAAAGTACTTTTTCTGGTGAATGAGTACTTGCTGGAGCTGCAGCAAAAAGTTGAAATTTTTCACAAAAAAGATTCAAACTGTGCTCCTCTCAAGCTCATAAATTGTTTTTCAAATGCAGTGATTAAGAACATATTCTGAGGCAAGTCTGAAATATCACTCTGAAGTCTTAAAAAAATAGCACACTTTTTATGGCTGATTTATAGTCCCACTCATTTCAATCTGAGGGTAATTGTTACAATTATTTACAGAACCATCCTAGCCATAAGCGAAATCAAGTACTATCTAGGATTTTAACTGAATGAGCTGTGAATTTGTGAAAATACTATTTTTGTCAATCAGAATTTATACTGTGAATAAATTGTCCAGACTGCACAGGTTGTACCTTGCAATTTTACCCAAATTTGTAGCCAAACGAGGGTTGAATTTCAAAGCAGTCAAATTTGAAAATAATTTTTGAAATTCAAAAATAGCAACGCAAAAATTCAAGAAAGCGGCCAAAGAAGGTAAAATTGCTGGGAAAAAGGTCAAATTGCAAGTCAACCTCTCTGAAAATTTGACCATAAAATTGCAGGCCATTCAAATTGCAGGAGTTCAAATGGCAAGGTACCACCTGATGTACAACTCTTTCATTTTCTAGATTCCAAAAAATAGCTGAATCATTCAGAAACTTTGGAAAATATGGTTAATTAAGATTAAGAAGGTGTCACATCACTTTTCTCAAGGGTAGGGTGAATTTTTATTATTAAATGAATGATTTTTACATTGATCATTTAACATGATTTTTGGAAATAAGATTTCTTATGAAACTGGATGAAGTATGTTAACCAAACCACTACCTTGACCAATCAGTCAAAGGGATACATTATTAATGTTATACTTCATTCTGCACATATTTGTTAGACAGTACAGTACTTTATTTGATATAATTTATGAGCGCTCTATCCAGAAAGGAAATAAAAATAAGACTTTTGTGCTTGTCTGTGTGTGTGTGTGTGTGTTATTTTCACTTGCTGATGCAGCACATGAACATTTTTTAAGGGTTTGAACTTGATGAGCTTTTTCAATGCAGAATAAAAACAGCATTCCAACATTTTTGAATGACAAACATCTCATGAAAATGGATGAAGCATGTTAACCAAGCCACCATTAAGACCCCTCAAGTACTTTCAGCAGAGTGACGACCGCAAAGCACAGTTTTAAAACTTTCAAATATATTCTTGGGCCAGCCCAGGAAGGAAACAGTCTTCATTATTTCAATACTTTAATTATTATTATATGTGTACATATGCCCTTTTTTTGTACTTTTCTTTGCAAAGTTGTAAACATATTTCGTGTTTATCTTCTCACTTGCTGTTGCAGCAGCAGCAGCTGCAGCCATGAGGCACAATGTCAGCAATAAAAGCAGTGTTGTTGTTGGTGACGGCATGAAAGACCCGGGTTCTCCTCACTCAACGCATTCCAACAACAACAAGTGCGGCTGATGTCCAACACTTGGCCCATCCACACCATGACTTTTTGTTCACAACACCGCGATTATTTTCTTGCTCCGACTTTCCGCCATTCATTCACTTTTTTTTT